CACACACACACACACACACACACACACACACACACACACGTTAGAGAAAATGTACAAAACAGGTACAAACCACCAAGTCAAAGACTGTTAACACAGTACAGACAGTAAGAAGCAGCAACCACGTAAAACTATAGCCTGTAAGGAATGGATTAGTTGTCCTCTTGTATAATAGTTGTTCCGCCTGCTGTGAAGGTTGTGTTAATCCCCTTCTTCCACTAAAGTTAGTGTGTATATGCAGGTTTTTTTAGGCACAAGAAACACCACTAATATGTGTTAGATTTCTTTCGCATTGCCTGTAGACGTGTATGCCTTTCTGTTTTTTTCTGGTGCGTCATGTTCGACGTCATGAACGGAAAACAGGGTGAGTAAACAGTGAAACTGTTACAGTGGTTACTTCTTTTTATATTGTTTACTTATTCAGTCTTTCTTTGAAACTCTCAAATCAGAGTTGGTGATTGTTGGAACAGTGAAAAGCCTAACAAAAGAGTGTTTTACAACAATCAGCAGGTAAAATGACTATTTCTGTCAATGAAGTCTTGTAACTTTGAGAAGCGCATATAACTGCTGTTTCTTTTCACATCCAACTCTGATTTGAGGGTTTATTTCAACCAAACCAGAGTTTGTGATTGTAAGAACAGTCGAAAATCTAATAAAATCAGTTTTGATTAGTTGTATTTTGGTTCTGTCGAGTTTGAATGAAGTGCGTTGAAGATGCACATCATCGGAAGGGTAAAACTACTGTTGTCTGACTGGAGTCTGGTGGCTTTTGAGGAGAGCGTATTAATTGTATGTTAATAAATTATAATAATTGTGCAAATCTCTGTTGATTTAGTCACTTCAACGTGTGTCACATAGCATCGCACCAAAAAAGGGACGGAAGATGAGCGTGTCCTGCCGTGTGTCATGTTTCCATCACTGCCGAGCGGAGCTGGAGCTGATAAATACCGGGGACTACTGTAAGTAGTACTGCGAGTCAGGCCAGATGTTGGTGGGTGTAAGTGGGTTTTTTGTCTAGTGGGAAAGCGGCTTTAGCGTTTAGTTTCGGATATGTAACTGAGCCCCAACCTTCCAGTCATGGTCCCCACAGCCAGAACAGCACCGCTGGGATGGAAACCTGCAGACCTGCCTGGATCCTGGAGCGGAAAAGAGAAGTAATTAGTTTCTAATTATTCATGATAGAATTGTCTAATTGTTTTTGCATTCTGTGTTATACACCAGTGCAGTCAGGTCAGAGCTTTTACATCCTGATGTTAAAGGCACAGCACAATCTACATCCTACTACCAGTCACCTCGATGGTCTTGCTCCAGAGGGGCTGATGGGAGTTGGTGTCCCAGAGGTGAACCTGTCTGTCCTGGGAGCAGGTGACAAACTGCTCCATGGTAGGATGGACATCCAGACCCCACAGCTCATCTGTGTGACCCTGTAGCACATTACAAGTCTCATTTTATACACCGCATGGGTGAGTTAAAACTACTGTTGGCACCTTCCCCTGTAAACAAAGTGATCTTCTTAAACCGGAAACATGCACATTGTGTGTAAGTGTGTACCTGTACAATCGGAGTTAATGTATCGGGGAAGGCGGCTCTGATGATGGCATTCTTGGTGGTTCCTACGAAGAGCTCTCCTGGTTTACCTTCGGCCAGCGCCCTTACAGGACCGAGTGGCTCGCCCACCTGGACGGACACACACACACACACACATGGGCTGAAAGAAAGCTTCTCACACACACACACCCACTCACACACAGTCTAGCTTCCCTTCAAATGCCTAAGAAGTGTCAAAGGGAAACAGATTTTCTTCTTCGTCCCTTTGTCGTGCACAGGACACTTCGTCTCCCTCACCTCCATCTCGCCCTTTTTTCTGTAGGCGTGGTCCCACAGCACCACCTTGCGGTCCTTCCCTCCTCCGGAGACCATGGTGCCATCTTTCAGGACGCAAACGGAGAAAATCCCGCCCTCGTGGGCCCCCGACACCACCTGGCTGATGCGGCTACCGCCTGCAAATCAGAACGGAAATAAAAAAAATCAGGCAGAGGACACAGATTCTGACTTTCGAAGTTGTGATGAAATGAAAGGTGACTTTTTTACATGGCTAAGTTTTAGTAGTGATTAATTACTTGCAAATCGGTTTTATTTTGCTGCATCTTTACAGATTGCTTTTTAGACATCCAATCATGTTCTTACATGAACAGCACTGACGCTGGAACATTTTCGTACTTCAGTGTTTTGGTGTTTGGAGACTTGATGTCTAAATATCTTGAACAAAAGGTCGGGATCACTGCGATCCATTTAGATTCTACAGCTGGGTTCCAAATCGCATACTTTTCTTTTTTAACTTTTAGTACATACTCTAGCTGCCTTTACAAAGTACATACTGCATGCATTCAACTGGAACATACTACTTCTTCACAACATGGCGCATTTATATGCTACGCAAAGGATTGTGGGAAAAGCATCGCTGGCTTGCATACTGCAAAATGCAACCGGATGTAGTAGAACATCCTGGTATTTTTTGGCATATCGCATTTTACATACTATGTTTCTGGCGTACTAAACAGTACGGTAGTTTGGGTATTAGAATGCATAGTACCTTTGGCCCAGACGTAGATGTTTCCACTGGAGTCTCCTGTGATGGCGTCTCCGTTCTCAGCGAACGCAACACACAGCACGTACTTTGGCTTCTCATGTTTCTAGAGAGAGAGGCAGACAGAGAGAATGTAGGTTAACAGCACATATTGCTGCATGTGTTTTAGCTAGCTGTACCTAATGAAATAACCCCCAAGTGTATTTTGAGGCAGGATTGTTGTGCGATACATCTTTGGAGCAGTTGTTCTGATGGCGGTACCTCGAACACGCCCTGTCTCTTGGTCAGAGTGTTGCCCTCAATGGTCCAGAAGTTGATGTGAGATTTTCCACAGGTGACAATCAGGTTGGCATCCATGGGATGAAACACAGCGGCCAGCACAGAGTCATTGGAGCACTGAGGAGACATCAGGTGTGAAGATGCAAACGTGTTTCTCTATTCGATTCATTGAGAGGAATATTGCATTTTTTGCATGCTTGTGATCCAGACTGTTAGAACCAGGAGATAAGAGAATGATACAGCTGTGTAAATGGGATCAGGTGGACAAAGGTCAAGGGTCAGGGTACCTTGACATCAGCCAGCTGCTTCTCCTTCTGCCAGTTCCAGACCGAGAGCATGTGATCGTTGGCATCGTCCACAGCGCAGAGGAAGGTGCCGCCGTTCTGACAGAGAAAAAAACCAAAGAGTTAGATCTTCACAAAGCAAAAAGTTAGTTACTTGTTAAAATAGTCCACCAGAGGCTGCTTACCGACTTGGAGAAAGCCACACAGCTAACCGCTCTGTCGAACACTCCCATCCCGATCACATGGAGCGTGTTGAGGCTCACAGAGTCCCACACACGAACATGAGGCGCCAGCAGCTGAACAGACGGGTGACAGGGAGGAAATCAGATGGAGAAACTGTGTCAGACGGACTAATTTAATACAGAACTGTGGGATTAGATGAAGAAAAACTGCAACAAAAAACACATCTGCTACTAAATCTAAAGATAGTTTTCTTACCATTTATAACCATTAGAATTTATACATGGCGGTATGTTTTCTTCTCTGTAACTAGCCGTCTTTTCCATTCATTTTTCAGTACCTTTAGTTTAAAATAAACTGTCAAAAGTTTAAACTAAAACAGCGAAACTCAGTAGGAGGATGGAAGTGATGGTTACCTTTCCATTGGAGTTTCCAGCCACTTGCCCCGTTGCTATGGTAACCATGTCAGGATGCACACTCAGGCTAGGATGAGGAAATATAAAATATTATGTCTTTTAAATTCTTTAACACTGACTCTGGCTTTTATGGAAAAAGTTAAATCCCAGAAAAGCCTTTCACTGCAGATTCAAACAGCCGATTCAGATTGAAACACAATGAAAGTAAACGCATCACTTTGAAAATGTGAACACTAAATGCCATTGAGACGTTTTTAAGGATTTACTATCGCTTGCTTCCATGACAGGCGGCGTATTCTTTTTGCCGTCTCACTTCTGTGAATCAGGAAATAGTTATTGCAATACAACAATTTTGTGTTCCTAAAATAAAACTAGATTCACCGCCTCGCGATTGTAGTTTATTGACGCGTTTCCAAAATGTCTTCAATTCATCATTTCATCCCATTAGACATTTGTGTGGAATTGTCATGATTAGCATTCAAGTTCTTGCGTTACGGCCACAATTGTATTCACGGTTACATTCGACCACCATTTTTCTGATCAACTCATCTCATCCTTGAGTGACGGTGGATGAACGTGCCAAATTTGAAGAAATTTGCTCAAGGCGTTCCTGAGACATCACAAAAATGGGACGGACGTGAGGTCACAGTGGCCTTGACCTTTGACCACCAAATTTGTCTCAGGTCATCAATGAGTCCAGATGGACGTTTGTGCCAAATTTCATGAAATTCCCTCCACGTGTTCCTGAGATATCGTGTTCACGAGAATGGACGGAGGGACAACCTGAAAACATGATGCCTCCAGACGCATTAAAAACGACAAACTACAGCGGTTAACACGGGATCCTTGTTGAAGCAGGAAGAAGAGGAACACTCAATATGTCGCCGTGGGAGAGGGGAACACATGTAGAGAGGAGCAGCTTTCCCAGCATGCCCCGTGGGAGGGAGGATATAGTTTGTTTACATCCTAGTAGCTCCAGTCACAGAGCTCATTCAGGATGTCAACTAGCGCTCAATAAGGAAACCAAAGATCACATGACTGAATAACAGAAGGAGATGGATAAAGAATTGCACGGAGCATTTACATCTTTCAACAGTGTCGATGTCTTGTTGTTTCATAAGCGATACAGACTCACTCCTCTGATTAAACAAATGTTTCCATATCCTCTGGCTGCTTTCTGTGCATTACTCCTCTTTATGGTCTATTAAACTCTACATGGACCATAATGTACTAAATGAACATCATGCTGTATTGAAGAAGACTTGAAACTAGAGATTGAGACCATAAACTCATGTTTACAATGTTTACTGAGGTAATAAATCAAAAGAGAAGTAGAGTCATTTTCTCATAGACTTCTATACAACCAGACTTCTTTTTATAACTGCTGGTCAGTAGAGAGAATGTTAGTTCATTTATCACTGATCTGCCTGCTGCTCTCTCACCATTTGACATCGTCGTTGTGGCCCAGGTAGTGTCTCTGCTGCTGCTCCTCGGTGTTGTACAGCACCACCACAGAGGCGTTGAAGTAGACGATCTCTCCTGTGGGCAGCAGGTAGAGGTTGGAGCGACAGTCACGTCCGCGGTAGCCGTACCTGGTCCACGCTTGAGTTAGGGAACAAGACGGGGTTGTAGCTAGACGGGAGAACATTTAATATTTTGATTTAGAAGTTCAGTTGATGCTCTTTTACCAAGGTGACTAACGGGGACTGAAGCTTTTGCAGCTTTTACAATTTCTACAATAGGAAACCTAAATCACAACTCTCTTCAGGTGATTATTTTTATACATTTCATTTTAATGCCAAATAACAATAAAGAGGCTGGCTGTTTATTTCGGTTTCTCTCCATTTGTCCATCTGTTCCAGAGGTTTCCAAAGTTTCCCCCTCTCTCCGTCTGAAGGATACACCCACTGCAGCTTGAACTTGCGGTCAGGTTGCGCCACCTTGTGGTCGAGGCTGTAGCTCTCCCTCTGCTGATCGGGGATGTGCATGGTGACGGGACGTCCTCGGAGGAACATCCGCACGTAGCCGTCCTCTGAAAGGGAATGAGAGGGGGGAGAAAAAGACCGACGGAGGGTTAGGTGGGGGGGTAAAGGAACAAAGAAGTGACACAGCAGAGACGAGTAGAAGAGAAAGAACAAGGAGTTTCTTTTCAGAAACAGCGCTGCCTTAAGTGAAAGTTGTGAGAATTCACGAAGTCACCATTTAAACACAGACATGCGCCTCCGTCTTCTATCTAATTCTGTTGCTTCGTGTTAAATTCAATCCAACTTTACGGACTACGGTCAAAGGACACTGTCAGATTAGAGAGGAAGTTGTTAAACTGAATCCTGCCAGTGCTTTGCTCTAACTTTACCGTCTACGGTTAAAAAAGGGACATTTTGTCATCGTGAACGTCATTGGTTCAGTTTCCTTTCATTTGCTCTCGTTTTCGGGACAATTGCTTGTTAGCATTCCCCAGTGAAACAGAGCATAAAAAGAGCGCAAAGAAATGTATGAATGGTCAGACAATCCATACACAGAAGGAATATGGGTCTACAGAGCCAATCCTTCAGTGTGGATCACAGACCGTTTAAGAAATGGACGTAGTTTCAAAGTGGGCGGTTTCGGCCGTCGCTATTCTCTCCCGGATAACCCAATTTAAAAGGCAAAGAGGTGGATCGTCGGTGAAGCTGAGGCGGGGCCGGGTGACGCAGTAGAGCAGACAGCCAGCAGCTAGCAACCTAGCCACACCCTCAATTATGCCCAACTTCAAGCCTTAATATAATTTAAAACTTTAGAAATTAGCCATAAAGACCAAAACTTTTTGTATGAAGCTGTAAACAGGTTTATTTCTTCTGTAAAGTTTTTACATTTTAACATACGGGTCTATGTGGATTGACTCCTTTTGGAGCCAGCCTCAAGTGGCCATTTGAGGAACTGCAGTTTTTAAGCTTCATTTTTCAGACCCGGATTTGTCCAATTTTGTCGTCCTTCAGTTCCTCTTTCTGAAAACCTCTTTAACTAGAAGCGTCCTATTTCGGCACTTCTCTGGCTCTTCAGTAATTCTAATGGATGTTCAATATTTCTAATGGGGAATATTAAATCCTTCAAGAGCACTTCAAGGACTCCTGAAGGCCAATTGAGTTTCACACATCAGAGGCTGCTCATCTTCTTTATAGCCAATTAAAGTGTGACAGTAATAGGAGGGGGGAGGGTAAGACTTAAAGTAGACACTTAGACTACCTCTGGGCTCATGAAATACAACGCATCAGCAGCTTCTCTTACCTGCATTGAAGGTGCATTCTTTGGATTTGCTGAAACAGAAAAAAAAGAAAAAATGAATGAAATGTTTCCTGTAAAGTTAAGCACCATAAGAAAAGTCAGGGTCTGGCTGTCGTCCATAATGGAAAAAAATAATGGAAGTACCAGTAAGTATATCAAACTATAAAACACTAAATATATAAAAAAGTATTTTCCAAAGCTCCCGAGACTTTGTTCCATTACATCAGGCGTTCCTATAAGATGCTGAATTATTTATTCTTCAGTTTCACATTAACTGGACAATAGTGGCGTCTGTGGGACAGAGCTGCAGAGCACCGAGTCAGCATATAAAGTCAACACGTATGCTACAAATGAACTGGAATGTTAGCATGCATCAAACTTGTGGAACTGAATGGTAACATGTTCTCAATCAGTTGATTTTTCGACTACAGAAAGAAGAAAATGTTCAAATTATTTTCCTCCACGATGGCAACAACTATTATGAGGTCATCTGTTCAGGCTTCAGAACATTTCTGCTGCTCTCCTTTTGTCAGATGAATAGAGAAAATGATCAAAGTGCTCTTTAATGAGACTGTGGACGCAGGTTGATAAAGCGTGCCTTTGATCGAGTCAGCAGACACGAAGTAAACCGATAAGTCCTGTTATTTGTGTATCCACACATGGATGGTGACACAGTGTCAGTTAAAACACAGTGAATGTGGTGCTCAACCAAACGGTGCGACATCAGAGAGATGAGAGATGGAGAAGCTCAATGTACTTATACGACAATGACAACATTGGGTAACTACTTTGAATTGAAAATGACTGATCGCCGAGTCCAGACATCCAGAATGAGAGCCGTCAATCATAACCTGTAGCTGCCTCATCGGTTCGCAGCAGCGGAGCAACAGCTGTTCCTGAGTCAGCCGTCTGTCGACCAATCAGAACTGCCCCGCTGAGCATTTTTTAGTTTGACCGCTCAGCCTGACCCGTCAGAACGCTGTCAACCAATCGTATCGTCATCGGGATGCTGAAGCGCCGCTTCGGCTGACAGGTGGGTATCACCACGGCAACAGCAGTAAAAGTAAGGCTTGATAAGACGAGAGACATTGCGGGCTCGTCACTTGCTGCTCGGCAACAGGAGAGAGGAAGACGATTTGAAAATATTCAAATGAAATCGGCTTTGAAAAGGTTTTTAATGAGGAAGGAGATGCAGTCATCACATTGCACACACTAAATGGAAACAGAACTTTTACTGCTTGTTAACAGGAAAACTCAACAGGACACGATCAAGCATCAGGGCGTGGGTCTACTCCTCACGTTTGCTTAACAGGGAGTTACTGGGAAAAAGCCTCTAAGCTTGTAATGTTAAGTCAAATGTTTTCATAAAGTTGTTTGGGCACAGGTAAAGAGAATAATCTTTAATCCAGAAAGATCAGAGCTCGTTTGTGTGTCTTTGAACTCAACACAAAGCATCTGAAGAAGATTAAAAGACCACGGAGTGAGCAGGCGGCTCATCTGATGACATAACTGGTGTCTGTTGCGTCTCCGGGCAGCTGGAGGCCAGCGTGTCTCTCCAAAGTAACCACACAAAGGTCTGTTTGTCTCTTGAACTGTGTGTGTGTGTGTGTGTGTGTGTGTGTGTGCGTGTGTGTGTGTGTGGGGTCTGCCAGGAAGATGAGGCGTGGCACAGCTCTAGCCAATGAGAGAACAAGATTGAGTCTGAGCCAGTAATTAGTGCAGGGGCATGCTGGGTAACTGGCAGTCGGACAGAGCAAATAACTGTGGGTCTGCAAACCCATGCGGCTGTAGTCCCGGTCACAAGATTTCCAGGGAGAGGGAATGCACAAACAGACCTCTCATTAACATGCGGCACTATTGTTGCCATTTTTTCTGCCTGCCTGCACTCTGAAAACTCATTTGGTTTGGTGCAAGAACCAGAAGGGGACTAATGAGCAGCAAAGAGCCCGCCAGGGTTCCCCTGAGAAACTCTTCAAACTACAGACAGAACCAGTAATGAATGTGCTCTGTTTCTCTGAAGACATCAACATGAACCCTTCCTGCTGTGCTCCAGGTGTAGGGATATAAAGTAGTGAGGACTAAATGCGGATTCCTTTATGTTTGAAACGTTCCCGATTTGAGGTGTTGAATCGGCGCTCCATTCTACTTGTCCTAAACAACGCACTGACCGGTCCGGCTTCCAGCCTTCCAGAGTGTGTTATTTCAAAGTGAGATGGCAAGATTTGATGGCCTCTAAAGTGCTAGAAACTTTCTCAAAGATATTTTTCAAGTTACGACTTTTGGACCGTCAGTGCAGAGAGATTAAAAGGACCACAGCGTGAGTAAGTTATGACGGTTTTACGTGATCCTGTGTTAGCTTGTTTGTTCATCGACACATTTTGAATGTATTGAACTTATGCTTGTTCTGAAGCTCAAAACATTATTTTATTAATGCTAACTGGTTTGCATTCGTTTTCTTCTTTTTGCAATCAATGAAATATTGATTAACTCTTGTGTGCTAGATTTTAGTTATTAAGCCTTCAGCTGTCAATTTCGTCCCAAACTTCCACTAGGTGTAAGCATAGACTGTTTATAGGAAGTGGACGTATTCACCGTAACGTCACTCATTGGTTTGTGGGCTGCTGTTTCGAAGCCTTGACTTCTGGCTTTTTGGGCGTCGCCATCTTGTTTTTTGCAGCCAGAAGAGACACGAGAGGGTGAAGTACGACAGAATGACGAATAAGACATTTTGAGGCAACCAAAAAGGTTGCAATGAACTTTCATGAACTAAAAGCACACTATGAAAGGGTTTAAGTCGTACGACGAAAACATGGACATCTCCATGGTATCGACCTGTCAATCACAAGGTAGCATACCCTGCTTTATGGTCTATTTGACTCTAAATGGATCATGAACATCATGGTGTATTGAAGAAGACTTGAAACTAGAGATTGAGACCAAAAACTCATGTTTACTGAGGTAATAAATCAAGAGAGAAGTAGAGTCATTATCTCATAGACTTCTATACAACCAGACTTCTTTTTGCAACCAGAGGAGTCGCCCCCTGCTGGTCAGTAGAAAGAATGTAGGTTTTAAAACACTTCAGCATTTGCTGCACTTTTCAGACCCAGAGGTTGCCATCTGGATGCAATAATATCTTTGTCTTATATTTCACAACAACAGATTCCTCATCGTAGCAACTGATCAGTAAAGTGCTTCATGTGATTGGGAGATACTGCAGTGATGATGTGGTGGTAAAGCAGCTTTTATAGCCCTCTGTACTGTGGGAGTGGTGGGAACAGTCAAGTGTGCGTCCATTTCCTGGTCCATTATGACTGAACTACTGCAGTGGTGGTTTTGTTAATGGACACAAACGTATCTGATCAACTTCACTCAACGAAAAAAAATAAAAAATAAAAAATCCACTTAGATTTAACTTTGAGCTTCCTCTTCAGTTACTGCGGCATCAGATAAAACAGCGGAGCGCGGAGAAAAGATCTCAATCTTTGATGCAGATCTATTCATCGCTTCCTTCATTCGAATTTGCATGATTTCAATCTGACAGAGGCAAAGTCGTTCATGCTAGTTGTTAAACCTTGTTACTTTACAATGGTTATGTTTAGACATATATGTAATAATTTAAATTCGAAAATTATAAGATTTCCTCCTGGATCACAGTTTTCCATCCCATGAAACAGAAACCAACGGAGCTAGGGTGAACATGATGAACTCTCTTCCTTATTTATTGTATTTGCATAAATCCAGAACTGTTTATCAACTGTTTGTACAATGCCCTTAGATTTAAAAGGGGCGTTACCCTGAACTTTAAATCTAGATTCAAATGCAGACATAGTGATGTTAAACTGTCTGTAGTGCGGCAATATTCTTCTCTGCAGAGGTGTCGTCATTATGTTTGTTGCCTGTTAAACAGGAAGTCCAATCAATATTATCAAGAGTTCATGCAAGCTGAGCAGAATTGGTAATTGGAACATCAGTCCCGCGGCTGCATCAGCCCCCTGTCTGTGGTCACAGTGCTGCAGGGTGTGCTACAACGTTAAAAAAAAACAATGAATTAATTAGGATGCCTTTGGAAAAAGATTACTAAAAAAAAAAAAAAAAAAAAAAAAAGGAACAGATGTGCACCGCCCAACTTCAACCAGTAATACCAAAGCAGGAGCTCCGTCCTGCGTGCTGCCAGGATCACTCGGATCTAACAGAACAATCGCTTAACCGACAGAACTGCTGAGCACAGTGCGACTAGAGTCTACTGTCACTGCACATTTACTCATCCGTGTGTGTGTGCGTGTGTGTTTCATAACCAGAAAGAAATGCAACATGTTTGTTTCACATCATTAGAAGCCCGGAGACAAAAGAGCCACTGACGACACTTGAAGAGGCCCACAATTCTACGTATCTGAAACATAATGAGAGATTTCTTCAGTAAGAGAGTGAGAGCCACTTCAGAAAAACACATTTAAAAGGTGAATATTAGTTGTCTACTAATGTTTTTCAATACAACTCACATAACCCTTCATTGTTGGAACTACACAGTTCATTTAAGGCTAATTCTTCTAAGATTTCATGATTTACTTTTGCCGTTAGACCCCTGCTCCACCCACATGACCGGCCCCGTTTTCTGCTGCATTCATGTTCCTATGCCACGGCCCCTCCCCACAGCCCTGCAGCTGGTGGCAAACACACCGCATCAAATGGTTCGCGTGACAACAGGGTTTCATAAAACAGACAGAACTTCCTCAGGCTGTCGTGAAGCCAGAGCCGCCGACTACGGAAACTGTCTTTAGACTGAAAAGGTGGTGAAGCCTGAATGCAATTTGCAGCATTCATTGTGCAACCTGTAATCTATTCAAATACAAGTCCAGGAACAGATGAAGGGTTAGCTGGAAGTGACACGCAACAAGAGTACTTTTCCAACTTTCACACTTCCCTCCACAGAACACACACATTTACTTCATTTCTTATAAGAGCATAAGACTTCCTCATATACAAAAAGTAAACCCTCTCCCCACTGTCTCTGTCAATCACTGATTATCTATCATAAAGCAACCATTTACCTGGAAGATCTCTTCATGGCTGAAAGCTTTTCCGTTACAGTGACAGTCAACAGTGGTGAGCAGCGTCCTGAACAACAGCTACAGCAACACACTGACTTCCTCCTTCACTGAGCAAACTTTTAGCTCGGCCTGGTGGGGCCCCGGCGTCCAATCAGAGCCCACGCCCTGAATGTGCAGACCCACGACCCGCCCCCTCTGCCCAGTAACCACACCCCCTTTTACCAAGAGCTGTTGGAAATCTGATCCATCAGCGCAGAGAGAGAGAGAGAGAGAGAGAGAGAGAGAGAGAGAGAGAGAGAGA